GCGACCCACCCGTGACCCACCCGCGACCCACCCGCGACCCGCCCCGCGACCCACCCGCGACCCACCTTCGACCCAAACCACGTTCAAGGTACAAACCACCAATTTCCGGCGCCTGCGGCGGGCTTTTTTTGCAGTCCTTCCAGGTGGAGAGCCCGCGACCCACCCCGTGACCAACTTGCGACCAACCACGGACCCAAACCACGCTCAGGGTACAAACCACATTTTTCGGCGCCTGCGGCGGGCATCTTTTGTTGTCGTTTCAAGTGGAATGCCCGCGGCCCACCCGCGACCACGTTCAAGGTACAAACCCACTTTTTCGGCGCCTGCGACGGGCATCTTTTGCATTCGCTCCCGGTGGAGAACCCGCGGCCCACCCGCGACCCAAACCACGTTCAGTGTACAAACCAAATTTTTTGGCGCCTGCGGCGAGCTGCTTTTGCATTCCTTCCAGGTGGAGGTGGAGAGCCCGCGACCCATCCGCGACCCAAACCACGTTCACTGAACAAACCAATGCCGAGGGGGAGGAGGGGGAGGAGGAGGGGGAGGAGGGGGAGGAGGGGGAGGAGGAGGACGAGGAGGGGGAGGAGGAGGATGATGGACGACAATGGGAGGACGATGATGGAGGCCGATGAGGGGGAGGACGACAATGGGAGGACGATGATGAAAGGACGAGGGGGGGAGAGGGAGGACGAGGAAAAAGAGGAGGAGGAGGAGGAGGACGAGGTGGAGGAGGAGGATGACGATGACGATGACGATGAGGACGAGGACGAGGACGAGGAGGAGGAGGAGGAGGAGGAGGAGAGCGCCATCGACAGGGAAGTTGGGGGCCACGAGGTCCGCCGGCTCGACGACGCCCGCGTCGCCCGCGCCCGCCCCCTCACTCTTATCCGCAATTGCGGGGTGCTACGTATGTTTCAACCGTCGGGGCAACCATCTGGATAATCACCGGGACAACCGTCTCCATCGAACAACCATCGGGCCAATCATTGGGACAACCGTCTCCATCGAGTAATCCCAATTGGGGCAGAAATCGAGACAACCAATGGGACAGCATAACTAACCACCGGGACAACAATCGGAACTAGCATCGGGTAAACAATACAACACCGAAAGACGCGTCAGAAAAACATATTACGTTTGAAACCGTGGTGCCCACTAGGGTTTGCAAGAGCCCCGTTGCTTGTTCATTGATCTTCTTTCTTCGCAAAATTATGATTGATTGTCGTTGTGTCGTTGTCGTGCAAGGCGCACCTTCTTATGTTATGGCCCGCAGAGCACATATTGTGAAGGTTGGTTGCCCCGCAGAGCACATTGGATGTACGTGCTTGCCTGCAGGGCTAATTGTTTGGTAGTGCAGCCTTGCATAGTGCATCTTTTGTTACCATGACCTGGTAGAACGTTTTTGGGGGCATCGTGGCCCCGCATAATAAATCATTTTGCCATGCAGAATCGCAGAGAACATGTGTTCGCTATTATGACCTGGGGATAACCGTCGGCGGGGCATTCATCGGGACAACCGTCTAAACAACCGTCGGGACCATCCTCAGGACAACCATCGGGGCAACCACCAACATGACTATCGGTACAACCCAGAAGCCACGGCAGGCGCGGGGGCGACTCATTCTTGTCGGATCTGGCCCTACAAAGAAACAACTCGCGCGATTTTGCCTCGCCTCGCCCGCAGGCACGTCCACGCACGAAATGAAACGATGTCCCGGTTGGGGCGCCTCACGTCTCACTTCGGAGCCTCACCCCCTCAAACCTCCATCTTCAGCCAACTGCGATCTCCGGGCTCTACCCGGAAGATTCTCTGTGCGTCGTCGGACTCCATCCGGCAATCACACGTGCCTAATTATCGTGGGGCTCGTGGACGGCCCGTGTTCATCTGCAAGAAGAGCAGCCAAGGATTACCTCCAAGGCGGCGCCGCCGCGGAGCCCCAGCGCCGGAGAGGAGAAACCCGCGCCGATCCTAAGGGGATCCGCGAGGCCCCCAGGGCTCGCCCCCGCGTCGCGTGAGAGCCACCGAGGGTGGGCAGCTGCGCGGTGGTGGGAGATCCACTGCGAGATCCGCTGGGCGATGGTACTTCTTTACAATCGCAGCGGAGCCAAGCGGCACGACGAGGAAACGACGGACGGCGACGACGACGACGACGACGACAAGGCGGATGAGGGAAGGGGGAAGGGCCGGGGGGCAGCAGCTGGCAAGGGCGGAGGTAGCGGGCGGAAGGGGGAGGGGCGGCAGGGAGGGGAAGACCAACTGGTAGATGGCACAGTTGGTGGGCATCTGCGGGATGCGAGACGGTGAAACAAAATACGCTTCCAAGCCTCAACGGGCGTTCTAAGTGGAAGTCCGAGGGAGCAGTAGGTGGTGGGTGCGCGCACCCAAACGTCTGGCGAATGCATCGATGACTCGAAGAACTGACTCGAAGAAGCGGGGCTTGGCATGCCCTATATAAACCGCTGACGAGCGCGAGCACAGCGACTGTCCGGCCGCCTGTGTGCCAATTGCCTCAGAGGCGTGGATGTATCATCGCCCTCCCCCTGTCAAGCCCCAAACCTCCCTCCACTGCCACCCAAACAACCATCTCCGCTCTAACCCTTGTCCTCGTGATCTTGGTCCTGCTATAGAGCTGTCCGCTCCATCAGTTGTGATCGAAGTGGGAGTCTGATTCACTGAACTTCCGCTGGCGCACCCTTGCCAGGTGATGATGGCCTCGACGGCCATCCGCATGCAGCGCCTCATCTCTGAATCCGCCACCGAGCTTGCGCGATGGCTGAGTTTTGGAAAACTGGTTGGTTGATTGCTGAGGTCTCTGCATTTCCCCACCATGACAGGTTGGGGTTGCCCGATATACAGAACAGAGCTCCAGACCCGCCTCGCACAATCTGCATACCGCGGCCGCCAGGCCCAAAATGTGCACGTGCTCCCTGGGGATCCCGCATCGTTTAGGTCGGGCGTGCCCCCCTACAGGCGGACTTTGGACGAAGTATTAAAATAGTCAAAACAGAGTCCAACAAAAACACAAAATACAGAAAGTCGTCCCCAGATAATGTTTTGACTATTTTCTTATATTCCTCCTGTAGAGGGACACGCCCGACTTAACGCACCGTGTCTCCGACGCATGACGACTGCACGCCTGCAGACCGTGGCCGCCACGCGCAGCGTATGCAGGTGCTCCCCGCAGATTATGCCTCGCCGTTCTCGGGTGGGGATCGCTCGACGCACATGAATTTGTTTAGGCTCCCCCCCCGAGCCATGGCGGCGAGCACAAGGGGGTGGAGGGAGGGGGGGGGCTTCTTAGAAGGAGGCTGCTTCTTAGAAGGCGCCGGCCCTTCTCAGAAGCAGGGGTGCTTCTAAGCAGCCCCCCCTCTCCCCTCACCCCCCTTCTGCGCGTGGCTGACACCCCCACACCCACCTACAGGGGGATTCTGCAGGGGGATTCTGGACGAAACATTAAAAGTAGTCAAACCATACACCAAAACAACAACAAAAATGCTGGAAGAGTCGTCCCCAGACTAGTTTTGACTATTGTCGAAGACTCCTCCTGTAGAGGGACAGGCCCGACTTACACCTGTCGCGAAGCAGAGCTCGAGCTTCGTCCGGGCGCTTCGGCCCCGCGTGCTCGGGCGGACGCTGTCCCCTCGGGTCGGGCGAAAGGGGGGGATAGCAAAGGGGGGGGTTGAGAATCAGCTCACGTAGCTGATTTTCACGGCGCCTCCCGGCGCTGGAGGCGGCTATGTATCGAGGAATGGGCTCCTCGGTGAGGCCGAAACCAGCTGCATGCAGCAAATTTCGTAACCCCCCCTTTCCCAATCCCCCCCTTTCGCCCGACCCGATCCCCCTGGGCTCCGAGATGCCCCCCGCGATGCGCCAGCCCGAGGAGTTCTCCAGAAGCCCCCAGCGCCCCAAAGGGGCCCCTGGCGAGGCCGGAGGAGACCCAGAGCAGGGCCGAACCTAAACACCCAACGGTGTGTTTCGTTTTCGTTTTGTTTTCGTTGTCCCTCGTTTTTGTCTTCAGTCCGCTTTTAACGCAGAACGAAATCGAAAAGAAAACGGCCCACGAAATCGCCGTAACACCGTTTAGGTCCAGCCCTGACCCAGAGCACGGCGAGACACGGAGAGAGAGAGAGAGAGAGAGAGAGAAAACCAAAAAAACAAAAAAAAAAAAAAAAAAAAAAAAAGATGCAGCTGCTTCCGACGCCCTCGGGCTACGGACAACCACGAGAGAGCAAGCGCGCCCCAATACGGCACAGAAAACAAGATCAATCAGCATCGAATCGGGATATCGGATCGGATCGGACTCGTCACCGGATCGGGCTCCCTCGGCACGGAATCGGGCTCGAATCGGATCAGCTGCGCCAGGATGCACAACAACGCTCAACCACGCCATGCATCGAATCGGATCGATCGGATCGACCGGATCGACATTCACCACAGACAAAAGTACCACTACCACCAGCTATGGGGGTAGCTGTCCCACCCTCTCGAGCTGGTGGCACCTCGCTCCGGGCATGCCTCCAGGGAGTTGCTCGGAAGGAGGTGCCACCAGCTCGAGGGGAGGGAGCGGCCACCCCCCCGGCAGGTGGCGGTGGTTAGTGGTACTCCTGTCTCTCCTGAGAAGTCGACCCTGAAAAGGGTCCCGAAACCGCCCAAGTGCGCCAGATGCCCGAGTCGGCGCTCCGAGAGTCTCAGTCGGCCCCAAGATCCGCCCAGCCGCACCGATGATGCTTCAGCCGAGCCTCTTCTGGAGAGCTCGGTAGAGCCATCGCGTGCTGAACGGCCGCTGCCTGGACGGGCCAGGCAATAACCTTCAAGATGCAGTCAGCTTGAAGGAAGAGGGGAAACGATGCTGCGTACGAGGAGGACGAGGAGAGCGTGCGGAAGACCCGCGCCGGCTCAGACGGGCATTGACCCAGCACGGGCCTGAAATCTTCAGCCTCTTTCCTGATAGGATGCTGCGCTGCGGCGGTGGCAGGGTTTGCCACGGGCAGCTGGACGTCTAAATTCTATCATTGAGGACAAAAGATCCCCTAACCCTAATAGCATGGAGACGTGGAGACGTGGCCTTACTGAGGTCCTCGTCTTTGCATCAGGGATAATCAAGCTGGGCGGTTTGGTCTGACACATCTGCAGGAAGAAAAAACAATCCCTAATGTTTGAAAGAGCGTTTTCTACCGCTGCTGGCGGAAAACCGGGGGGGGTCACTATCGGTTCGAACCCCCCCCCTCCCCGGCCACCCCCTCCGGAAAACCGGAGGTGTCACTACCGGTTCGAACCCCTCCTCCCCCCCAGTCCATCATAAAAAAGAGGGGGTAGGGGTCACTACCGGTTCGACCCCCCCCACCCACGAAAACCGGGGGGGTCACTACCGGTTCGAATCCCCCCCCCTCGAAAACTGGGGGGGGGGTGCGGACAGTGGTGGGGACGGTGGTGGTGGGGACAGTGGTGAGGGAACAGCGGGACAATGGTGGGGACAGTGGGACAATGGTGGGGACGGTAGTGGTGGGGACAGTGGTGAAGGCGGTGGTGAAGACAGTTGTGGGACAGTAGCACGGTGGGGAAAGTGGTAGGGACAGTGGGGACAGTGGGACAGTGATGGGGACAGTGGGGACGCTGGGACAGCACAGTGGGACAGCGGTGGGGACAGTGGGACAGTAGTGGGCACAGTGGGGACAATGGGACAGTGGTGAGAACCGTGGGTAAAGTAGGGAGAGTGGGAAAGTGGTGGGACAATGGTGGGGAGAGTGGGGACATTGACACGCTGGTGGGGGCATTGGTGGGGACAGCGGGGACAATGGTGGGAACAGTGGGGACAGTGGGGCAGTGGTGGGGATGGTGGTGGTGGGGACAGTGGTGTGGGGACAGTGGCAATGTGGTGGAAACAGTGGGACAGTGGAGGGTACAGTGGTGGTGGGGACAGTGGTGAAGGCGGTGGCGAGGACGGCGGTGGGACAATGGGACAGAGGTACAGTGGGGACAGTGGTGGGGACAGTGGGGACAGTGGTGGGAACAGTGGGACAGATCAGTGGGACAGCGGAGGAGACAGTGGGACAGTGGGGACAGTGGGGATAGTCGGGCAATGGTTGGGGCCGTGGAGAAAGTGGGGAGAGTGGAACCGTGGTGGGAACAGTGTTGGGGACAGTGGGAACAGTGCGACAATGGTGGGGGCACTGGTGGGGACAATAGGGACCGGTGGTGGAACCGGTGGGGACAGTGGTGGTGAGGACAGTGGTGCTGGGAACAGCAGTGGGGGATGTGGTGCGGACGGCGGTAGGGACCCCCCCGGCAAGGGGGGGGGAGTTTGAACCAGTAAGGTGCCCCCTGGTTTTCGAAAGGGGGGGGGGGGTTCGAACCGGGTGACCCCCCCGGTTTTCGAACTGGTGGGGGGGGGGGGTTCGAACTGGTAGTGTCCCTTCCCAGTTTTCCGGAGGGGGGGGGGAGGGTTCGAACCAGTATAGACACCCTCCAATTTTCTGGAGGGGGGTGGGGGGGTTCGAACCGGTAGTGACCTTCCTCTGGTTTTCTGGGGGGGAAGGGGGGGGGGTCGAACCGGTAGTGACCCCCCTCGGTTTTCGAGGGGGAGGGGGGGGGGGTTCGAACCGGTAGTGACCCCCCATGGTTTTCTGGAGGGGAGGGGGGCGGGGGTTAGAGGAGAAGGGGGTTTTGCCGGGGGAGGGGGGGAGGGGGTCCAGCAGGGGGGGGGGATTTTCGGAGGGCCGGAGGAAGAGGGGGGGAATTTTCCACAGTACAGAAGCGGTGGATCACGCTCCCTCTAATGTTTCGGCCCACCTAACACGTGTCCCGTCCCAACGGGTTAGGGGTTCTCTCTGTGGTTCATCAGATAGATGGCGCCGCACTCCCCACTTCTGCCACCGAGTCCCCGGCGGGCTCCTTGAAGACGCGGCCAGTTCTCGGCGGCGCGCGCCACTCGCACGCGTGGCACCGGCCGCAGGACGCACCGTCCTTACAGCCGCGAGCCTTGCGGAAGTACTTGCACGCCCCAGCGCAGCCGTGTGGGTGATTTCGAAGAACCCGAAAACTACATAAGCATAAACTTTCGGCGCTCCGCGCGGATTTCTTGGTTCTGCGCGAATACCCCCTCCCAGGCGCGCGGAGCGCGCCAGGGGCGGCGCCAGAGGCACCGCCAGGGGGGCCCAGCGCAGATCCAAGAAATCCGCACGGAGCGCCGAAAAATTACGTTTATATCCGTTTTCTGCCTTCGATGATTGACCGAACCCGGCGACATCTTCTCCAGGTCCTGGTGCGGGGCAGTTAGCGACCACAACCACACCGAGGACGCACTCTGGGAGATGTCTTGCGCATGCCAAAACACTGGCCATCGCTCGGACGTTCATCCCCTGTGTTTTTTGTCGGTTTCGTGCGTGGTTTTTTCGCAGGGTGATCCATGATCAAGGATGCTCCTTAGTAGTCCCCGTCGAGAAAAAGTGCACTGCACACGTCCGAGCGATACCAAGAACACTGCCGGAGCACCGAGACCAGCTCCATGCTGGCCGTGGTCGATGTGGCGCCCCATGAAGGTCAGATCGGCCACGACCAAAACCAGCATGAGCACGTCGAGGCCGACGGGATTCGGGGAGTAAGCTTACGTCGGGCGCGTCTCCCTATACAGGGGGATTTTGAACGAAAAATGGAGAATAATCAACACATACCCCAACATAGCCAAACAATGCTCCAAGAATCGTCCCCAGACTATTTTTGGACTATTTTTGAAGACTCCTGCTGTAGAGGGACAGGCCCGACTGAAGTGTAAGCGCAGTATCAACGACACGCCTCTGTGGGGAACCCCTCGGCGCGCTACTGCTGAAGGAATGCCAGGCCTTCCGACAAAGATGAAGGAGCAGCACGCTGATGGGCTACGTACTAACGGCAGCGTGTCGTTGAAACCTCTTCTGCCCCCCGAGGGTTCCCCCCCGAGGGACCCTCCAGAAGAATCCACTGGGCTGTGGTTGTGGTTCTCTGCTGCGCTCGGGCCTCGTTCGTCCACTCGGCTCCGCCGCCCCCGCCCCCCGTGGCCACACCTGCCAGCGCGGGCGCCCGTGCCGCGGCTGGCTGAGGCGGGGGCGGACAAACCTCCTGGGGAAACCAACGGGTACCGATACTGGGCGGCGAGCAACAGGGCGAATCGAGAAAGAGGAAACCCTCTCAGAAGGCGGTGGGGCTTCTCAGAATCCCTCCGGCCTTCTCAGAGGTCTTCTGCGTCTTCGGGGAAGGCTCAGAAAACTTCTCAGGAGGCCCGAGGACTTCCGAGCCTCTGGAGAAGGCCAGCCCCTTCTCACTTTCCGCCCTCGCTTCGCTCACCGCCAAGATGCCGCTACTCCCTGGACATCTCCCGGGGTGCGTTTTGACCAGACTTTCGAGGCGAATCCAGCGGTAGCGACGAGGTCGTCCCAGGAGACCCCAAAAGGCGAAAACGATGCAAGGGTAGCGGTATTGGTACCTTTTCCTCCGCTGACCTCCGGCGTCCGCGGGGTAGCTTTGGACTCAGGAGCCAGCGATGTGCACACTCGTTCGCTTGGCGTCGGCCGCGCCGCGCAGCTGCGCGCTGAGCCGCCCGCGCGGAGTCTGGGCGCTGGGCCGCCATCCGCGCGCTGCTGGTGCTGGTTGTCGCGGCGTGGCCAGACGCAGAGGTGGCACCTGAGCGACGATCAAAAACGGGCCTTGCGCGGGATGGCACAGCGGCCACACGCGGTGGCTTGCGCGGGCCGCCAGAGCGGCAAGCCACAGTGGGAGACGAGGGCGCTTGCGCGCGACCATACGCGAGCAGCTTACACCCTGCGAAATGCTTAAGAAATCATGGGTTAAGAAATTCATAGTCTCAGAACTTGAGTAAAAACCCAAAATTTCCACTCAAATCTTAGGATTTACATTGAAACATTAAGAATAATCGAGACTCTGGCCGAAAACTCAAGTTTTCTTAAGCATCGCCTGAGGTGTACGCGCGAATGTCGGCGCAATCGAACCCGCTTTTGTTGCGCCGCGCACCTGTCGCAGGCCGGCCCGTCCTTGCACCCCCGAGACCTCGCGGACACGTACTTGCACGGCCCGGCGCAGCAGCCGGGGTGCCCGATGGAGCCGAAGGAGACGCCCTGCTGTCGGCTGCACGCAAGAGTGACCCTACACCCTGCGAAATGCTTAAGAAATCATGGGTTAAGAAATTCATAGTCTCAGAACTTGAATAAAACCCAACATTTCTACTAAAATCTTAGGGTTTACGTTGAAACGTTAAGAACAATCGAGACTCTGGCCGAAAATTGAAGTTTTCTTAAGCATCGCCTAAGGTGTACATTGGAGGCCAGTCCACAAGACACCTTCCGCACGAAACCCAGCCCTGAGACCCAAGGACGTCCACTGATTTCCGGCGTGGGAGCGTCCCGCCTTCCATGGGTAAGACCATCGAAACCCGAGGAACCCAGGACGCCCTGGAGGCACGCAGGGTGTTCCTTTGAATGGGCAGGAGAGCCCAGAACGAATCGAGAAGTCGACTCGGCGACCGAAACTCATCGGATCGGCAGAAATCGGCAACCAAGTCGGGACAAGTCGAATCGGCATAAATCGGCAGGCCAGTACGCCTCCAACCAGAAATCTGAATCCGAAGCCGAGACGAATCAGAATCGGGGGCCATCAAAATCAAATCGAATCGGAGGAATCGAACTGAGCCCTGCATGGGCCCCCACCGTGGGCGAGGAGTGGCCCCTGGGGTGCGAAGCTCGCCGATCGCTGCACGCGGTGCATAGCAGCGACGGCCTGTACGCCTGGGGTCCGACCCTCCAGGCGCGCACCCCCGACGCCGCGCATCCAAACAGGCCACTCCGGCCGAGGAGGACGACGACGACAAGGACGACGACGACGCCGACGAATCCGACGACGAAGACGACGACGACGAAGACAAGGACGACGACAAGCACGACGACACGGTCGACGACGACGACGACGACGACGACAAGGACGACGACGACGAAGACGACAACAAGGACGACGACGACAAGGACGACGATGACGCCGACGAAGCCGACGACGAAGACGACGACAAGGACGACGACAAGGAAGACAAGGACGACGACAATGACGACGACGACGAAGACGACGACAAGGACGGCGACGACAACAAGGTTGACGACGACGACGAGAAGGACGACGAACGGGCGACGACGACGTTGCAGACGACGACAAGGACGACGACGACGACAAACACGACAACAAGGACGACGAAAAGAACGACGACGACGACAAGGACGACGACAAGGACGAATACGACAAAACGAGAACAAGGACGACGACGACGAAGACGACGAGAAGGATGACGACGAAGACGACGACAAGGACGACGTCAAGGACGACGCCGACAAGGACGACGACAAGGACGACGACGACGACAAACACGACGACGACGAAATTGACGACAAGGACGATTACAAGGACGACGACGACGACAAGAACGGCCACAAGGACAACGACGACGAGGACGACGACGAGGACGACGACGACGACGAAGACGACGACGAGGACGACGACGACGAAGACGGCAAGGACGACGACAGTGACGACCACGACGGCGACGAAGCGGACGACGAAGACGACGAGGACGACGACGACGAAGACAAAGACGACGACAAGGACGACGACGACGAAAAGGACGACGACAAGGTCGAGGACGACGACGACGGCGACAAGGACGGCGACAAGGACGACGACGACGAAAAGGACGACGACACGGACGACGACAAGGAGGGCGACGACGACAAGGACGACGACTAGGACGACGAAGAACGAAGACGACGACAAGGACGACGACAGGGACGACGACGACGGCGACAAAGCCGACGACGAAGACAACGACGACGAAGACAAGGACGACGAAGGCGACGAAGCGGACGACGAAGACGACAAGGACGACGACGACGACGACAAGATTGACGATGAAGACAAGGACGACGACAAGGATGACGACGACAAGATTGACGACGAAAATGACGACAAGGACGACGACGACAAGGACGACGACAAGGACGGCGACGACGAAGACGACAAGGACGACGACAACGACGAAAACGACAACAAGGACGACGAACAGAACGACGACAACGACAAGGACGACGACAAGGACGATTAGGACGAAGACGACAAGGACGACGACGACGAAGACGACGACAAGGACGACGACGACAAAGACGACGTCAAGGACGACGGCAAGGACGAGGACAACGAAGACGACGACAAGGACGACGACGACAAGGACGACGACGAAAAGGACGACAACGACGACGAAGACGACGACAAGGACGACGACAAGGACGACGACGACGACAAGGACGGCCACAAGGACGACGACGACGACGAAGACGACGACGAGGACGGCGACGACGAAGACGACGACAAGGACGACGACTAGGACGACGACGACAAGGATGGCGACACAGGACGACGACAACGACAATGACGACGACGACGGCGACAAGGACGACAACAAGGACGACGACAAGGACGACGACGGTAACGACAAGGACGACGACGACGGCAAAGACGACGACAAGGACGGCCACAACGACGACGACAAGGACGACGACGACGACGACAAGGACGACGACGAAAAACGAAGACGACGACAAGGACGGCGACAAGGACGACGACGACGACAAGGACGACGACGAGGACGACGACGACGACACGGTCGACCACAAGGACGGCGACGACGACGAAGACGACGACAAGGACGACAAAGACACTGACGACGACGACCACAGGGACGACGACACGGACGACGCCGCCGAAGAAGACGACAGTGGCGACGACGAAGAAGACGACGACAAGGACGACGACGACGACGACGACAATGACGACGCTAAGGACGACGACAGCGACAAGGACGACGGCGACGACAAGGAAGACGACGAGGACGACACGGTTGACGACGAAGACGACGACGACAAGGACAACGACAAGGACGACCACGAAGACGACGACAAGGACGACAAGGACGACGACGACAAGGCCGACGACAAGGACGATGGAAAGAATGGCGACGACGAAGACGACAAGGACGACGACGGTAACGAGGGAGACGACAAGGACGACGACGACAAGGACGACGACAAGGACCACGACGACGACGAAGACGACGACAAGGACAATTACGACGAAGACGACGACAAGGAAGACGACGACTACGAACACGACCACAGGACGACGACATGGACGACGTCAAGGATGACGACAACGACAAGGACGACGATTAGGACGACGACGACGACGAAGACGAAGACAAGGACGACGACGACGACAAGGACAACGACGATAAGGACGACGAGAGGGACGACGACGACGAAAACCAAGACAACAGCGACGACGACGACGACGAAGACGACGACAAGGACGACGACGACGAAGGCGACAACGAGGACGGCGACGACGAGGACGACGAGGACGACGGCGACGATGACAACGACAAGGACGACGACAAAAACGACGACGACGACAAGGACGACAACGACGGCGACAAGGACGACGACAAGGACGACGACGACGAAAACGACGACAAGGACGACGACGAAACCGACGACGATGAACGACGTCGACGACAAATAAGACGACAAGGACGTCGACGACGACACGGACGACGACATGAACGACGACGACGCCGAAGACGGCGACAAGGACGATGACCAGGACGACGACGATGACACGGACGCCGACAAGGTCGACGGCGGCGACGACGAAAAAGACGCCGATGAAGACGACGACGAAGACGACGGCAAGGACGACCACACGAACGACGATGACGACAAGGACGACGGCATGGACGCCGACGACAAGGACAACGACGACTACAACGAAGCCAAAGACGGCGACAAGGACGACGACAAGGACGACGACGACGGCAAAGACGACGACAAGGACGGCCACAACGACGACGACACGGACGACGACGACGACAAGGACGACGACAAGAACGACGCCGACGACAAAGGAGACTGCGACAAGGACGACGCCAACGACGACGACAGGTACGACGACAAGGACGACGCCGACGACACGGACGACGACAAGGAGGCCGACGACGACGACACGGACGCCGACAAGGTCGACGACAAGGACGACGACGAAGACGCCGACGGAGACGACGACGAAGACGACGACAAGGAAGACGACGACGACGACAAGGACGACCACAAGAACGACGATGACGACAAGGACGATGACAAGGACGACGACGACAAGGGCGACCACGATACCGAAGACAACGACGGCGGCAAGGACGACGACAAGGATGAAAACGACGACGGCAAAGGACGTCGACGACAACAAGCTGACGACAAGATCGACGACGAAGATGGAAGCGACGACAAGAACGACGACGAGGACGAAGACGACGACAAGGACGACGACGACGACGACACGGACGACGACAAGGACGACGACAAGGACGACGACAACGACGACACAGACGACAAGGACGACGACGACAACCAGAAGAACGACGACGCCGACGACGACGAAGCCGAAGACGACGACAAGGAGGCCGACGACGAAAACGACGAGGTCGACGACAACGACGACGACGCAAGGACGTAGACAAGGGCGACGACGACAAGGACGACGACGACGAAGACGACGACAAGGACGACGACAAGGACGACAAGGACGACGACGACAAAGACGACGACAAGGACGTTGACGACAACGACGACAAAGACGAAGACGACGACAAGGACGACGACAACGACGACGACGACACGGACGACGACAAGGACGACGAAGACGACGACGACGACAACGACGACGACGCTATGGACGACGGCGGCGACAAGGACGACGACCACGGACGACGACAAGGACGACGACAAGGACGACGACGAGGACGACGATAAAAACGGCAACAAGGACGACGACGACAACGAAGACGGCGACAAGGATGACGACGGCGACGACGACAAGGACGACGACGACGACGAAGACGACTCGGACAACGACACGGACGACGACTCGGACGACGACGACAAGGACGACGACAAGGACGACGGCGACGACAAAAACGACGACAAGGACGACGACAACGAAGACAAGGACGACGTTGACGACATGGACGACTGCAAGGACGACGACGAGGATGAGAAGGACGGCGACAAGGACGGCGACGACGAGGACGACCACAGCGACGACGAAGACGAAGACGACGACAAGGACGACGACGACGACAAGAACGACGACGAGGACGACGACAACGACAAGGACGACGCCAAGGACGACGACGAAGACGACAAGGACGACAGCGACGACGAAGGCGACGACAAGGACAACGACGACGAAGACGACGACAAGGACGACGACAAAGGACGACGAGGACGACACGGACGACGACACGGACGACGACAACGACAAGGACGACAAGGACGTCAACGACGACGACAAGGACGACGACGACAAGGACGACGACAAGGACGACGACGACGACAAGGACGACGAACAAGGACGACGACAAGGACGACGACGACAGAGACGACGAAGGAGGACGTTGACGACGACGACAAGGACGACGGCAAGAACGACGACGACGACGAAGACGACAAGGACGACGACAAGGACGACGACGAAGACGACGACAAGGGCGAAGAGGACGTGACGACGAAGACGACGACAAGGACGACGACAAGGACGACGACGACGACAAGGACGACGACAAGGAGAACGACGACGACGATAAGGACGACGACAAGGACGAAGACGACGAAGACATCCAAAACGACGACGACTAGGACGACGACGACGACGACGACAAGGACGACGAAGAAGGAAGACGACAACGAAAAGGACGACGACAAGGACGACGACGACGACGAAGAAGACGACATGGATGACGACGACTATGAACACGACAAGGATGACGTCAAGGACGACGACAAGGACGACAATAACCTCATCAAGCAATTAAGGACCCACCCGGGTCTATCATTAGCACCGCACTGTAATTAAATAGTTCTGGGGGGCGTCCCGCGCCCCGGCTCGGGTGGTATCCCAATTGGAACTGGAATAACAATAAGAAATAATTGCTAGTGATGAGGATAAGAATAAAAAATGATAATGCTAAGCATAAGAATAAGGATAAGAGTAAAAGTAATAATAGTGATAATAATAAGAATTAACTTAATATTAAAAGTCCTAGTGAAAACAATAATAATAATAATAACCATAATTCGAATATTAACACAACAAATAAGGAAAATAATTGGAAAAAGCATGACAATACGAGCTTTCTCCCACTCTCTTCAGCATCCTTGTCCTATACGACTTGTGCCACCACCCCTGTTGAACCATTGTTGTTCCCCGGCCGTCACGCGGGGTAGTGCATCCGAGCATATCGCCCCCGCCACGCACGGCGCGATATCTTAGACCCGCACCCGCACAAAATAATTACGACAGCTTGTCCAAAAGACAAGAAGTAAAATACGACCAAGAATAAGAAGAAAAAAATATTAGAATACGACTGGGAATAGTAATACGAATAAGAGTAATGATAAAAATGCAAATTTCAACCCGAAAACAGACGGGTTTCCCTGCGTGTTTCCTCCTTCCCTCCTTTTTCCAATGTTCTCCATCATCCATGTCCTATACGATTCTTATTACCACCCCTAATGGAACATTGTTTTTTCCCAGCCGTCGCGTTGGGTAGTGCATCCGAGGATATCGCCCCCGCCACGCACGGCGCGTTATCTTAACACCCGCACTGCCAAAATTATTCGCCCCCCATCGTAGCCACGGACGGTTCCTTTTCAAAGCTGGGCTCTCCCATGCTGAGGCGCCCCTGCTCGGAAGGCCGAGCGCTGGGAAGACGCGCGGCCACTCCAGTTCTCGCCCAGACCGACCACCTAACGCAGACTCGTCTGCGTCCGGAGCAGTTTCTGCGGATGTCTCAGGCGAGGCGCTTGCCTCAGAACCACAACGAGACCATATTGCGAGAATGTCTCAGGCGGTTTGCTTGTTTCGGCGAACAGATTCGTCTGCGTTCACATAAAGGTGCGAGGTGGCAGGGATAACTTCTGGGGTGCCGGGTGCGTTATACTTTCGCAGGAGAGGGGGAGGTTCTTAATCCCACCAGCCCTTTGGGCGTGAGTGGTTTAGAGAGCCCGCTCTGTTCTCAACCCCCCTTCTTCCCCTTCGGGGAGGGGTTTACCCCTCCCCCTACCCCCTCCCCCTGGGCCCGGAGAGGTCCCACCGCGGGTCGCCGGAGGGTTTTTTTTCGACTCCTGGGAGGGCTAAAATTCGACAGCCCTCACGAGGATTCTGGCCCCGACGGGGGGGGGGAGAAAAATGCTCCCCCCATCTGTGATCGATCGCCCCACAGATGGCCCCAAGATTCCTCCCAGACCCCTCCCAGAGAGTCCCAAGAGGCCCCAAGAGGCCTCCAAGAGGCCCCCAAGATGCCACCAAGAGGCCCCCAAGAGGCCCCAAGAGGCTCCCCCGAGGCACCCAAGACGCTCCTGGAAGCCCCTGGAGCCGCCAAGAGGCCCCCAAGACGCCCCAAACGGCCTCCAAGAGGCTCCCAAGAGGCCCGAAGAGGCTCCCCCAAGGCACCCAAGACGCTCCTAGAAGCCCCTGGGGCCGCCAAGAGGCCCCGAAGACGCCCCAAAAGGCCTCCAAGAGGCTCCCAAAACGACTCACACCACGACGAGGGCCCCGAACGACTCACACCACGAGGAGCCCGAACGAGTCACACCAGGAGGAGGGGCCCGAACGACTCACACGACGACGAGGGGCCCGAACAACTCACACCACGAGAAGCCCGAACGACTCACACCAGGACGAAGAGCCCGAACGACTCACATCACGAAGAGCCCGAACGATCACACCAGGAAGAAGGGCCCGAACGACTCACACCAGGACGAGAAACCCCAAACGACTCAAACCACGAGGAGCGCTTTCTCTCCCTCCTCCTCCGCCTCGTCCTTCTCCCGCTCCCACCACAAGGAGGATGTACAAGGAGGCGGGAGGAAGGAGGAACAGGGGAGATATGCGGGGGCAGGCGGAAACACGCCTGAAAAACACGACTGTCGGCATGCTTCGCAAGAGTTGCTGTTTTGAGATGGGCTGGTGGGGATACGCGAAGCGTAAAGAATTGCTTAATGAGGTTAACGACGACGACGAAGACGACGACGACAACAACAAAGACGACGACGACATCGACGACAAGGACGACGAAGAAGGACGACGACAACGACGACGACGACAAGGACGACGACAAGGACGACGACGAGAACGACGACGGAAACGACGACGACGACGGGGAGCACGTCGCCTGGCCGGAAGCCGGCGCCGGCCACGGGCCCTTGCCCGACGGTTCCAAGGGCGGCGGCACGAGGGGCGCCTGCAGCGCCGGGCCCTGCGGCTGGCACGGCGGGAGGGAGGGAGGGAGGGAGGGAGGGAGGGAGGAGGAGGAGGTGAGGAGGAGGAGGAGGAGGAGGAGGAGCAGGAGGAGGAGGAGGGTGGAGGAGGGGAAAGAGGGTGGAGGAGCGGGAGGGAGGGTGGAGAAGGAGGAGGAGGAGGAGGAGGAGGAGGCTCCTGCAGCAGCTGCAGCGGCTGCACGAGGCCCGGCGGGGCCGGGACCGACTCTGCGGACGGCGCGCAGCCGCCGCTCAGGCAGTGCACGTGCAGCCTCGGGAGCCAGCCTGGAACTGACTTTTTATCCCCAAGATCGGCAAGCCCAAGGCGATGACCATCTGATGGGACGCACAGGGACATACTAATACTATGTGTCCTCCTTGGAGGCGCGCGTCCGACCCGAACATACAGTATACCCATCTTGTAGTATATCGTTTCCCGAGCGGTGTGGCCAGAACGCGCCCGCCACGACGCATACACTATAAGATTTCTCGGTGCGCGCGTCGCCCCTGGGGGGACGACGCACGTCTAGTATAAGTATGTTGGGGTGACGCCGATCTGAGGGATGTGGCCCTCTGAAGCTGAGGGCGACATCGAGGTCGGCACCGAGAAGTACGGGGATGCCAGACGTGGGGATACGGGTATGTTTCAGGCTGGCAGGCCTTATCAGATTCTCGAGCTTTGTCTTCTCGCGGGTGCTGTAGCCGCGACTGGGCTCATCGCCCGACGAGGTGACAGACAGGCCACCGTCGGCTTGCCCAGGGCTGCTGGCCAGGCTGCCTGCCTCAGCCACGTCGTCATATCCGTCCTGAGAACTGGCAACCAGAGGGCACAGAACTGGCGACCAGAGGTCCGCGCAGATTCCCTGGAGCGGCGCAGGACGCCCCTCCATGGCGCGTGGAGCGCGCCAGGGGCGGCGCCAGAGGCGACGCCAGGGGGTCCAGCGCCGATCCGAGAAATCCGCGCGGACATGAATCATGCTTACGGCGAGCTCGAGTCGAGTTGGTTTCTGACGAGCGGCCGTTTTTGAAGCGTTAGCTCGTTCAGCATCAATCATTTCTGGGTCCCCCGCGGCATCCAACGTCTAACCTCAGCGGCGGGGTCGCCGCCGGTCGGCACGACGCGAACCCACCATATGCTTTTTTCGAGGCCGCCTACAGGGTCTGAGCAGATGGGTCGGAGGATCATGCCGCATCGCCGATGCATCGGCGATGCGGCTCGATGTGGAGCCCGACTTTCTCCAAGCCGACGCGCCGATGAATCGCAAACGTCGCCGACGTATCGACAATACATCGGGTATGTGTCGGCGAGGCCACGGCGATGCGACGCGATCCTTCGATTCCATCTACTCGAACCCCCTTCGGGGATGGACAGACCCCCCTTTAGCAAAACGTGGTTTAGTGAAAACGACCTGAGGCCCAAACCTGGCGGGCGCAAGCCTGGAAAATAACGGCCACGGCACCCTCTCGAAAACCGAAAACGGACAATTCACTAATCGACGTGTCACTGTTGGGGGTTCTGTCCACCCCCGACCCCTCTGGGCGGCCCAGATTCTTGATCACCGAGTCCTCCCATGCAGACGCTGCGGGCGACCCCGTGGCCGTGGACAGGTCCGAGTAGCTGGCGCTGATGGTGGGGGAGCGAAACATGCCATGCACATACATGAAAGCTCGGAGGTCCGAGCGGACTTCTCGTATCCGCGCTGGACCCCCCTCCCTGGCGCGCGAAGCGCCTCAGAGGCGGTGCCGGCGGCGCCGCCAGGGGGCCCCCAGTGCCGATTCGAGAAATCCGCGCGGGCATCCGAGATGTTATGTTTATGTCATTGCTCGCTTCCCTAAGATGGGGACCTTCATCGGCTGCGGCCACAGGGCGACCTGAGTATCGTTTAACCGATCCCCATCCCCACCAGCGTGGGCTGGGTCCCACTGGCCGATTTGTCCCCCTACGTATGGAGATATAGGCTGCCTCTTCGGGTTTCGAGGGGTATATCCCCAACTGGGGCAGTGAGACGGTGGGGCTCGAGATGTGGATGGGGATGGGGATAGGCCTGGCCTGGCCCGATACTCCTCCTGGGGAGGGCCGGAGGGAGGGAGGGAGGGAGGAGGAGGGAGGGAGGGAGGAGGAGGGAGGAGGGGGAGAGAGAAGGGAGGGAGGAGGAAAAAGAGGGAGGGTGGAGGATGGGGAGGGTGGGGAGGGAAGGAGGAGGAGCAGGAGGAGGAGGAGGAGGGAGGAGGAGGAGGAGGAGATGGAGGAGGAGGAGGAGGAGGAGGAGGAGGGGAGGAGGAGGAGGAGGATGAGAGAGGGTGGTGGAGGAGGAGGAGAAGGAGAAGAAGGAGGAGGAGGAGGAGGAGGAGGGAGGAGGAGGAGGAGGAGGGGGAGGAGGAGGAGGAGGAGGGGGAGGAGGAAGACCGGCCCGCTCTCCTCGAACGGCACGCCGAAGGCAGGGGCCAGGGGCACCGGCGGGCCGGGCGGCCTGCTCCACCCCGCTCCTGCACCACCTCGGGCGGACAGTGGTTCCTATTGCTTCCAGTTGACTCCAAGCGATCCCTATTGGTTCCTATTGATTCTCCTTGATTGCGATTGACTCTACCTGATTCCTGTTGAGTGGATCCCTATTGCTTCCAACTGATTCCCATGGAGTCCTGTTGATTCCGACTGATTCTTGCGCACGGCACGCTCAAGACGAGGCCAAGGCCAGGACAGGCGCGCGTTTTCTTATCCGGCGTTTCGACATTGGGCGGAGGGGGGGAGGGGGAGGGGAGGCGTGGCTCCGGACTCCTGCTGAGCGTGACTGTTTGCAGGAGTGCGGCCTCTGGGGGAGACTCCACCCGCTCGAAGCAGGCACCAAAAACAGCCAAGCTCTACTCCATGGGGGGGAAGGGGGGTGGTGCGGGGACCCGCCCCGATCGGCAAAACAACGAATCAAAAAACGATCACCAGGGCTGGACCTAAACGTTGTGTGTTCGTTTTGTGTTCGTTTTGTTGTTCGTTGCGCTCTACCTGCTTTCCTGCACCCCCCCTCCCAGAACGAACAACAAAGCACAGCCGAAGTCCAACAAAACAGCGTTGAGGTCCAGCCGAGGACCAGGAACAGAAATCTCGGGCGAGGATCAAGCGAGAATCCTCTGGGACCCGGCGGGTCTGGAGAGGATGCCTCGGGCGCCGCGGCTTGGCCAGAGCGTTCCAAGACGGTCTGGGAGCGCTCTGGAGCTAGTTTGTCCTCGCCGCCAGACAAGATGCTCAACCCTCGGGCGCGCTGACGAGGAAGCAAGCGTGCCTCAGAACTGTTGCCCGTCCTTCCCACACGCGTCCACTGCCGAAGCGTCCCCCGTCCCCCCTGTGATCTGAGTGGGCCCACGGGCGGCGTCGCAAGGCTTCACTGGCCTGACTACCTACCAGACCACCCCAACCCAACCCGAAGACCCGAATTTCGGGTTGGGGGGGGTATGGGTTCCATATGTGTTTTTGTCGATGTTCCCGGACCCCCCCCCCACTAGAAATCAAGGGTAAATCTGAGCCTTCGGGTTGGGTTGGGGTGGTTTGGTGGGTGGTGATGGCCTGGCCCCGTCCGAGCATCACACATCAGCTGTTCCGCGTCTTGGGCACGCTCACGGCGGGCGGTCCTGGGCCGTGCCCGGCCTCCGGCGGCCCTCTCGCCCGGGGAGAGCGGGTCGGGGCGCCCAGGAACCCCGCATGGCACCGCACGTCGTGGACACGCTTCCGCCATCGGGTCCATCCCCCGGCGCGTGATGTACTGTACACCCTGCGAAATGCTTAAGAAATCATGGGTTAAGAAATTCATAGTCTCAGAAATTGAATAAAACCCAGAACTTCTATCAAAATCTTGGGATTTACATTGGAAAGTTAAGAATAATCGAGACTCTGGACGAAAACTTAGGTTTTCTTAAGCATCGCCTAAGGTGTAGGGTTGTAGGCTTTCCAGCCGTCCTGGGGTAAGCGTGGCCGACGGCGGAAGTTCGCTGTCTGCGCTTCGTCACGACGGACCCCCCCCCCGTCCCGACCCTCTCCCCAGGGCCGGTGATTCATCCCGTCATCCCGCTCCTGCTCCTCCTCCTCCTGCTGCTCCTCCTCCTCCTTTTCCTTCTCCACCTTTTCCTCCTCCTCTGACTCCTCCTCCTCCTCCTCCTCCACCTGCTCCTCCTCCTCCTCCTTCTCCTTCTCCCCCTCCGCCTCCCCCTCCTCCTCACCTTCCTTCTCCTCCTCCTCCTCCTCCTCCTCCTCCTCCTCCTGCTCCTCCTCCCCCAGTCTCCCCAAGGCCGGTGATTCATCCCGTGTCGTCTTTGGACGGTCCCAGGGTCCGGCGGGAGCCCCCCGAGGCCCAGAGCGGCCCCAAATCTCCATGTTGCGCGTGTTTCCTTTGATTCTTCCCAGGCGCCGAGCGTGTCTGGGATTAGGTCGGGCATGTCCCCCTACAGGCGGATTTTGGCAGAAAAATAAAAAACTTAAACTACTCCTAACAAGTCAAAAAATCAAAACATCCTCCACCGAATATGTTTTGACAATGTTTGAAAATTCCCCTTGTAGAGGGACAGGCCCGACTTAAGTCTGGGATTGTGTCGCCGCGCTTCGTCCGCCCGTCACCGCTCCGCAGCGGCCGCAGGAGGGCCGCAGGGGGCGCAGCCCCAAACCCCATGGCCGCTGGGCGCGGCATGTGCGCGGGCATGGTCCAGGAAGGAAGGCAGGAGAAGCCACTGGACTGCGCAAGGTGTGGCCACCTCCACCTCGCACATCCCGCCTCCCTCTTCCCCCACCACCCCCCGTTCCCCCCCGCTCCCCCTCCCTCCCCTTCCCTGCCGCCCCGCGCCCTCCCCCGCCTCCCATCCCCCCCCTCACCCATTCTTCCCCTCCACAATCACACAATATGAATACAGGATGCCGCCGAACTGAGAATGAATATGTGGCGCTCCCGCTACAGCGTTCCAGGTCCTTACAAATCATGAGCCCGCTGCAACGCTAACCTCTCATGGTTGCTTAGATTGCTTCCGGTCCATCCAGACCGTGCTCCCACTGCAGCGCTGTTCTCACATCCGCAGTTCCGGCGCTCCGAAATCGCGCTCCCGCTGCAGCGGTGATCTCATGTTGCGCTTCCCGTCCATTGGCATGTCCCGTTATGACATATTTTTGGAGTCGCGTTCTCGACGCGACGAAGTCGGCCGTGGCGTGCCGTCCTAAGCCATGTTACGCCGTACTATACCAAGCATCTCGCACTTTCTCGGGATCATTGCCCAGTTCGACATCCGAGTGTGCGAATAGAGAGGGGAGAGTGATATATATATATATATATATGTATATAATAAAACAAACAAAAAAGAAAGAGGGCCCGTAAGGCAGAAAAGTCTGCCCCAACATGACGCCGGGCCGCGCGCAACCCTCACTTGTGCTCTGAGGTGTCTTGCCAACGTTTACGCTGCCTTCCAACGTGCCGCCGGGCATGCACGTATTGCCATGGGTGCCAGTCCAGTAGCCTCGTCCCCCACTGCCCGCCAGAGGCCGACTGTATCATATGGTGGAGACGCCTCTTGCTTGGCGCCCGTGCTGCATGTACGCACTGTTGCATCGTTCCCAGTTGCCACAGCCATCGTCTGCATCTAGTTGAGTGCCGCACTCTCCTGTCAGCCCCAGTGGTTAATCACGCTCGCAATCCCAACAAATCTCCCTCTCCCCCTCCCCCTCCCCCTCCTTCCCTCCCCCTCCGCTCCCCCCCCCCTTCCCCCCCACGCCCTCCTGGGATTAAGTCGGGCCTGCCCCCCTACAGGGGGATTTTGGGCGAACAATGCCCCCTGAATGGGCAAACATAATCAAAACATCGTACCCGGTGCGTTTCCGGACTCCTTTTGAATACTCCTCCTGCAGAGGGACAGGCCCGACTTAACTCTGGGAGGCAGGAGTCTCGCCAGTCACGTCGCCTCGGCTGCCCTGCAAGCCGCGGGCCGCGCCCCTCCGGGGCCCGCGCCTCGAAGTGGCAGGGGGTGCACGGGGCCCCCGCCGACCAGCGCGAGCAGGACCGGCGCAGCCGCCGCACTGCTCTTGGGACCAAGACGACTACGGGTAAGGAGGAGACGGAGGAGGAGGAGGAGGAGGAGGAGGAGGAGGAGGAGGAGGAGGAGGAGGAGGAGGAGGAGGAGGGGGAGGAGGAGGAGGAGGAGAAGTAAGGAGGAAGAGGAGGAAGAGGAGGAGGAGCCCAGCGTAGGAGGAAGAGGAGGAGGAGGAGGAGGGAAGAAAAGGAGGTGAAGGGAGAGAAGGAGGCCGTACCCAGACATGCGACGTCCTGGCACAAAAACCAGGACGGCGTGCCTTCTCCATCTTTGGCCCGTGGGGGCTCTCGCCTGGCCACGGGGCCTTCAGGAAACGGCTCGGGATGCAACACCAGCCCCAAAGGAAGGGGCCTGGGCTTCCGGGGACCCCGTTCTGACGAACAAGAAGCGGCATCGTGCAGGAAGGGGGTGGGGAGGGGTCTGGGAGGAGGGTGGAGGACGCGAGATGTCGCCATCGGTACGCCCAAGGGCTGCATGCGCGTCGACCAGGACCTCCTCCCTGGCTTCCCTCCTCTCCCCATGTCCCTCTCCGCCGCCGCCTCCTCGTCGCCGTCCTTCTCCTTCTCCGCCCTCTCCTTCTCTCTCCGGTTACTCTCGCTTCCTCTCGCCCATATTAACGGCCGAAGGGTTTGCAGAGGAAAGCAAGCCGAATATTGCAACCAGACCCAGTCTGAAGTTTGGCACGCCCCCAAAATGGGCAGAGAGAGAGAGAGCAGGACGAAGCGCAGGAGCTCCAAAACAGACAGCGGCCGCTGTTGGGCAAGCGACCCTCGAATGTACATCGCCCGCGGCGACTCCGACGGCGAAAGGACAAGAGCAACGATCACTATTCGGCCTCATTCTTGGGGCTAGAAAGCGATACCGATACTGCTGCTCCTTGGACCTCCCCCCGGGCGCGGTATGACCAGGACTTCGAGGCGAACCCAGCGGTGGAGGCGAGGAAATAATAGCGATAGCGGTATACGCTCCTACGCTGAATTCCATCGTACCCGAAGAGGAGGAGGAGGAGGAGGAGGAGGAGGAGGAGGAGGAGGAGGAAGACGAGGAGGAAGAGGAGGAGGAGGAGGAGAAGGAGGAGGAGGAAGAGGAGGAGACTGCCTCCTCCCCAAATGCCGAACTGGACTCAGACACGGCGGCCCCCCCCCCACGGCTGGCCGACAGGGATCTGCACCTGACGCATGCACGAGACTAGAGGAGAAGCAGGGGCGGGCGCCGGGGGGAACCCGTCGGGGGAGCCGACCCTTGGGCGATGGCACGCCTGAGCGACGCCCTGCTATGGATGACGCTCGAGCGCGCCACCGCCCAGGGTTCGCCCCCCCCCCCCCCCCCCCTCTCCCCCCACACACACCCTGGATTCTCGGTGGCGCTGGTCCCCGCTTCTCCTCTGTCGAGAACCCGCCCAGCAGAGAAAGACAGGGGCCCTTCCCGGCGAGAAGAGGGCAAGCTGCGAGGCACTCGCGGGCACCGCTGGGACCCGCCTCCCTTTGCGCAGCGTAGCGCGGACGTTCCGCTCAGACACGGAACGAGGATCACCTAGTCTGCTGCCGACAATGTTCGGAGAGAGGAGACTACCGTAGCCGACGAGCTGAAGGAATCGCCCCCAGCGCCCCCCCCAAGGCCGACACGAGACTCCGGGGGGTGGTGCCGCGCGCAGAAAGTCGCCGCGGCGAGGTCGGGGGTCGGCCGTGGGGGGGGGGGGCCCTCAGCCCAGCGGCTCGTGGGGGTCTCTCGGGGCGGTCGGGGCGGGATCCCTCACCTGAGCTGATGCCCCCAGGGTGGTCAGCAATAAAAGTGCACCACGCTCTGGGTGATCAGGAGGTCGGAGGGGGGGGGGAAAGAACCACCTGCTGGCAAATGCAATGGGTGTGATGATGGCGATGCTGGTGACGCGCCCTCGAGTTAGCGACGACGCGTTTCGACGATGTTGCGCCGAGATGTAATGTCACGATCGTCCCCGCTTTCGATCTCACTCGATCAACCCCACGATCGGCATCACGGCAAGTCTTCGAACCAATCGATTCGGCCATCGATCCCATTGTGCTCGCCTTAGGGGAGATCGCCTGTCCCCGCGAGATTTGCACGACCCGAGGGACGTCACGTCCCTGCGCATCCGGCAGCGCGAGCTCAACCAATGTCACAATCAACCTCACGGTCGATCTCACTTGTGATCTCACTAGTTATCCATCCCAGTCTAGCGACCTCATTATCGATCTCACCATCGACCTCACAATCGATACCAAGGCGGGACATCCCCAGCCACCGCCCGCCCAGCGCCGACGGATGACCGACGGGACACCAACGGGACATTCAAGGACACCACGGCGGGACACCACTGGCCACTGCGCGCCCACCGGGGGCGGAGGGGCGGTCCACTGCATCTGAATAGCCTCAGCGACGGCGGGGTCATTCCTCCCGCCCGCCCACGCATCTTCGCCTCGCTATCACGCGCGACACAAACACGAAACCGAACGCGATTTCCCAGTGAGAGGCTCTCCGTTCCACTGCGATCTCACCCAACAACCTCCGACCCCTAACCCTTTGGGAGTGGACCTATGTTAAGAGGCCCCAAGCATTAGGGATGGGGGTCTCTTCTGCAGATGTACCAAGCCCCAAAGTATTACTTGGCGGTGAGCGAGGAATGGAAGTGAGAAGGAGAAGGCGAGAAGGCCTTCTCAGAAGGTGGCGGGACTTCTCGGAAGCCCTCGCGCCTCACGAGAGGCTCTTGTGTTTCTTCGAGGAAGGCGTAGACAATATCTCAGAAGGCTTGGGGACTTCCGAGCCTTCTGAGAAGGCCCGCCCCTTCTCATTCCCCATTCCCCCCCCCTCGCTCTCCGCCGAATTACCCCTAGTGCAACGACGGGGACTTCAGTGAGACTACGTCCTCCCCGTGTTGTGAGGGGCAGTCGGGCCTCTTGTTCTCGATGCCAGGGGGAGCACAGGCTGCCGCCGTCCGCGGCAGCCCAGGGGGGAGTCACGCGCTGGGGCAGCCGTCTCAGGCGGCCCGGAGCCCCGCGAGGCGCCACGACTGGGACGCACAGAGACATACTACCAGTGCTACATGTCCTCCTGGGAGGCGCGCGCCCGACCCGAACATCTCGTAGACCCTTCTTGCAATATATCGTTTCCCGAGCGGCGTGGCCAGAAAGCGCCCGCTACAACGCATATTCTATAGGATTTCTCGGTGCGCGCGTCGCCCCTGTGGGGGGGGGTGGGGGGGCGACGCACAAATAGCATTAGTATGCTGGGGTGACGCCGAACAACGGCCAGGACCGGGAGCGCGGCGCGTGCTTCTGGCAAATCCTGGCCTTCGTTTAGAGGGAGCCCACCGAGGACGTACGCGCCCAGCCACGTACATGAATACGGCTCCCCAGTCCGCGAGACCAGCCTCGTTGCACGAGCGTTCGCGCAAGGCGTACGTTCGAAACCAGCGTGGACACATATGCGAACACGTCCTTCTTTCGCTCCTGAGTTCAGCGGCCGAAGACCGGCATGACATACAACAGATCCATGAGCGGGGGCGCCTATCCCAGGGAGGCTGGAAAACGAATTTCCCTACGGCGGCTGGTGGGGACGCGAACTTTCCAGCCGCCCTGGGGCAAACGCCCTCGACCGCACCGTGCTTCGCCAA